TTGGGTTTTATTTGTAAGCCTAACTAAAACTTTTCTTTTAATCAAAAATTGATGCATATCTACATTTATTGATATAACTTATATGTTTGTTCTCAAAATTCGGTCACACAATGTTGTATAATTATTTTTCCTTGATATTTTCTATATTTCATCCTCTATGAACTGTTTATTCTTTGTTCTTTAACCTTTCTTTTATATTTTTGGTATTTAGAGGATTTATATTTCTGTTCTAATGGTTACCTTTGTCATATACTTTACTTCATGCCTTTCATCTCCTGTTTTCTTATTTAACCTGTTATCTGGTTTATCCAACTTTATTGGTATCCTTTAACCGCTCCTACAACAATGATCTAATTCCACTTTTCTTTTCTCCTTTCTCCCATTTTCAGTTTCATTGTTTTTATAAAGAATTTTTTAACACAATATTAAAAAGCCAAACAGTAAGATTGTTTAAAAAATGGGAATATACAACTAATGGAAGAAAAATTACAATGGCCATATGTATATGAATAGAAGCTCAAATTCCCTAGTAATTAGAAAGGTACAAATGAAAACGACGTGGTATTTTTTGCCTGTCACTGGAAAAAATTGAAGCTTGGCAAGTGACGTATACTGGGGAAAATGAGGCTCTCATACATTTCTGTTAGGAGTCTCAATTGGTCTGACGACGTGATAATGTTGTAGTGTTACACCCCTCAGCAGTCGTTCCACTTCATGAACTACATTTTAGTTAAACTGCTCCAGGAGACAGATATAGGAATATTAATTTAAGTACTTTTGCCAGAAACAGACAATTAGAAATGACCTAAAAATTTAACAAGGATCTGTAAAGAAATGCAATGATATTTGTATATGATAGAATTATCTCCAGCAATTAAAAAGCATAAACTGGAGGTATAGCCTTTACACTTTCTATGTTAATACTAATGCTTTTTAATCCTAAACAATTTTATTTTCATTTATATGATCAGAGTGTTGTCTCTTTGAAATAGCAAAACTAATACCACTTATCTCATGCTTTCGTTGTGGGAATTAAATGTGTAAATATATGAAGTGTTTTATAAAGTGATAGATACATAGAAAATGTTCTATAATGTTAGTTGTCATTACAATCTAAACAAAAAACAAAAAAATTGTAATCTTAAATGAAAAAAGGTGTGGATTATATTCATATAAATCAAAATACATACAAATAATTACCATACACATTTTATGAATCCAAATGATCTTATTTGTGCTACTATAACAAAATACCTGAGACTCAGTGCTTTATAAACAATAGAAATTTATTACTCACAGTTCTGAAAGCTAGGAAGTTCATGATCAAGGTCCCAGCAGGTTCAGTGTCTGATGAGAGCTGCTCTCTGCTTCTCCAAGATGGTGCCTTGTTGCCGTCTCCTAACATGGCAGAAAAGAAGAAGAAAATGAACCCCCTCCCTGAAGTCCTTTTATAATGGCTCTAATCTCAACCATGAGGGCTTCAACCTCATGGCTTAATCACCTCCCAACAGCCCCACCTCTTAATATTATAACATTGATTATTAAGTTTCACCACATGAATTTTGAGGAAAACATTCAGTCTCATGTCATAGCACATATGAATAGAGGACATTAAAAAATGATCTCTAAGACCAGACACCAAAATCATAACAGGTACTGAGTGTGCTGAAAGTGGAAAAACACTGGACATGGGAGTCCTTTTTTTTTTTTTTTAAGAAATAAAAAGGCAACATTAACTATATACTTTTAATGACTCTATATTGTCTTAGTTTCTGCTGCAATAACAAAATACCTGAAACTGGGTGCCCTATAAACAATAGAAATTTATTTCTCACAATTCTGGAAGCTGGGAAATTCAAGATCAAGGTGCCAGCACATTCACCAGGACTATATTTAATATAAAGTCCAGGGATTTTAGTTTTATCCATTGCTGCTTTATTTCTTTAAATAAAAAAAGCCATGGAAGCAATTTCACAACCTATTGACAGTATACATTTCTGGGTGGTAGAATTATAAATTGAGCTTGCATGTTTTTTAAAACATTTATCAGAAAGAAAGAGAAATCAAGCAACATGAAGGTGAGACCTTGCCTCTGTTTACTCCATGTGCTCCTAGCTGGCTTTAGGGTGAGACTCTGACTGCTATTAGGGACATTAGTTAGTGAGTAGACACTTGTTCGCCATCGATCACATAATCCCAGAGGTCCCCACATTGGAAGTTATAAAATGCATCACAATAAATACATTGCCAATAATAGTTAAAATAAAGACACACATGATTTAAGGAAATGAATTAGAAATTAATCAGAGCAGTTGTGTGGGCAGGAGACCCTTTCATCTGATGAAAATGTTCAGTATCTCACTACCTCCACTTGCACGGCTAATTTCTGCCTTCTGTAAAACTGTAGTATCTAGCGCTTTGGAGCCCAAACCCCTGTGGCATCCTCCAGGTCAGGTGGATGAATCTCTTTGAAGCATCCCCTGAATTTCTTCCCCTGTTTCATTAGGTACCACTCCTAATCACTCCTTTTCACATTCCATGAAGAGGTGGCTGAAATAACACAGAATATGTGGCTTGTTTCTCTTTTGCTTTGCCATTATAGATTTATACCTTTTTCATATATTTACTGTCATTTTTGAGGGATTCTCAGGAGGGAAAGGAGATTTCAAAATAGTTCAATTTATTTTTTTAAAGACTTCAAATTTATTTTAAATAGTACACTTTCTCCTTTTTTTTTTACTGTAATTTAAAAAAAAACAAAATAACAGAAACTCTACCCTCTTCGCAGATTTTTTAAGTGTACAGTACGGTACTGCTAACTATGGGTGCAATGTTGTACCGCAGATCCCTAGAAATTTTTCATTTTGCATAACTGAAACTTTATACCTATTGAAACTTTATTGAATAGCAACTCCTCCATTTCAAACCTCTAGCAATCACTGTTTAACTTTCTGCTTCTAGAGCACACTCTTTTACATGGTCTCTGGCTATCCCATCCTTACAAAGTTTTAAAAACAAATAGGTGTTGGATTTAGTATTCTTTCTATTGAATTTTACATTTTGGGTTCTAGCCCCTCTTTTAGTAAATTGAGATAATTTCTATTCTTGGATAGTCCATCACATGAACTCCTCTGGGGCAGCCAGAAATATGCTTTGATTTTTAGCCCTTGCCAAGGCATTACCCTCCATTGCACTACATCATTCTTGGGGTTTCTCTTTTCTACATTATTATCTCCTCAAGGCCCCTTGGTACCAAATAGTGATTTAGACTCTTGTCCCAAGGAGTCTCTTCTACAGGCTTTATATTTCCATTATTAGATTTAATGGTCAACAACAGTGTCCACATCTCTCAAAAATGGCAATTAATTGATTTGCTAATGTTTACTCAGTCAGTAGATGGCAGAACTTGGACAGTTGTGTTTCACTCATTCCGTATTTACAGATGTCTATGTGCCTGACATTACGCTTGATGCTGGCGGTACAAACGTGAATGTATCAGGATTTCATATATACATGGCTGGGCATGGTGGCTCACACCTGTAATTCCAGTGCTTTGGAAGGCTGAGGCATGAGGATCGCTTGAAGCAAAGAGTTCAATACCAACCTGGACAACAAAGCTAGACCCTGTCTATACAAAAAATTTAAAAACTAGCTAGGCACGATAGCATGAGCCTTTAGTATCCGCTACATAGGAAGCTAAGGTGGGAGGATCACTTGCGCCCAGGAGTCTGATGATGCAGTGACTATGATCATGCCACTGCCCTCCAGTCTCCTATCTGGGTAACAGAACTAGACTCTGTCTCGAAAACACGTGGTTGTGTGTATGCGGGGGGCGGTTAGAGTTACAACTTTCAATCTTTTTTGATTATGATCCATAGTAAAATAAATAGTATACTTCATGACCCTGTGCATACTTACATATTGATCATTAAAGTCAAAATTTCAAAAAAACAATACTTTCTATATGCAATGTACTTGGATATTTGTCTGTTCTATTTATTTCAATAAAAACATCAAGTCATAATACACTGCATTGACTTTACAAGCCACTAACAGGTGTTGATCAACCATCGTCTAAAAAGGGTAGGTCAAAAGGGTAAAAAGGGAGTCATTTAAAACAACTAATTTCAAATAATAGAGAAAATTATGAGAATAATATTTAATTCCAGATTCAGAGGTTCTCTTACAAAGTATGCAGTGCCACTTGTTTTTAGCTTGAACTCATGCCGACCTTTTAGGCAGTTACATTTACAGATTAATTTGTGAGAACCCTGGGCCCCGACAGGACAAGACATAATTCACGTAAATTTTGGTAAATATTCAGGTAAATATTCCTTGAGTGATAGGAGGCAGGAAAAGTTTGAAGGGGAAGGGAAGACAAGTCTAGGCAAGGATGGCTAGGGTGGGGAGGTCCAAAGAATTATAAAGCATTAGTCATCCAAGTAAAGAATAATCAGAAGACCACTTACAGAATTAACAGAGTTCAGAGGTACTATCATTACACTCAATCCCTATTCAGATTTTGGTGTATGGTCTCCCAGATCACTTTTTTAGTATCTTCGCAGACATATGGATTCATAAAGAGCATATAGTAATTATTCACATTTGTTTTGATTTATATAAACAGTAATCTTGTCTCTCAGCTCCATAAAACCTCGCCTGGTGCGCTCTGAAGGCTCACAGCATCCCAGACCGGCCTCCATCACCCACTTATAATGTGTTTTGGGGTCTTGAGGGGAGGGAGCTTTCTCTTTCTCCTCTGAATACCTAGCATCCAGGTGAGTGTCTGGCATATGGTAAGTACTCACATACACATTCCTTGAATTCCGTAGATCTCAATTTCTTTTACTGTGAAACAAAGTTGGGCTAAACAATCTCCGGGAGCCCTTATAGTCCTAATAATCTATGACTTTGACCGATCTGAAGTGGTCCAAGGCATTTTACTTCACAAGAAAGCTCACCTCTTCCCTGTCATTGGCCTGAGATTATGAGTTCAAATAATAAATGGCCTGTGAACAGTTTAGGGTCTAACCCTGCCCTGTCCGATCAGCAAGAGAGTGTTGGGATAAGAGCAGATGAAAGCCTTATGCCACAGCAGTGCCTGCAGCAGAGAAAGGATTCCCTCCTCCACCTCACGCCCCACTGCTGCTGCTGCTCTCCAGCCTGCAGTTTCCTCTAAGGCTCTGGATTGGCTGGAAGAGCAACAGAGGGCTGGGAAAGAGCTTCTATATATGCCTCAGAAGGAAAGGCATCCCAGACAGTTTTGAAGTTTTCAAAGACTGGTTCTGCTGTTAAGAAGTTGTACTTAAAGCGGAGGAGCTAAGCCACCTGCCAAAATGTGCAAAGGACTTGCAGCTTTGCCCCACTCATGCCTGGAAAGGTGAGAACCAAGTTATTGTGGTTTAAGAGATGTAAATATGGAGAGTCTTTACTCACAGGAGCAGAGGTAACAGAGGTATTGTAGTTTGTGGCTAAACTGAGGTGAAACCAGTGCTTGTAGACTGGGTATAGTCTCTTCTCTGTAAACAATATAGATATTTTGAAAGATCCAAGCTAGGAGATTTATACAATTAGAATATTTCATACATCATTTAATATCCAGAACATCATTTCCTTCAAGGAGATGCCTATTCTGTAAGTGCTTATTCTGAATAAAAACTGTATGGTTACAGGTATAGATTCCAACATCAAACTGCCTAGATTAGAATCCTGGCTCTACTACTTACTCCTTGTGTGGCTTTGGGCAATTTATTTAACCTCTATGTAGCTCAGTTTCCTTATCTGTAAAATGGAGATACTATGTTCTCTACCTCACAGGCTGGTTATGAGGATTGAATGAATTAATGTATATGAAGCACTCAGAAGCATGTCTGACACCTAGTAGGACTGTTTAAATGTTGATTTTTATTAATGTACAGGGACTGGAAGAGGGAGGCAGGTTTGCCTTGAGGAAGGAAATTTCCCATTGTTCTTTGTTCTCTGACCTCATTGGATAGAAATAGCTGGATAGCTAGAGAAAGAAAAAGCCCTTGGGATGCAGGGGTTATTTATTATCTAGCATTCTTTTTTAGCGAAATACATCAAAATCTTTGATGCTCCCTGGTGTCCCTAGGCTGGACAATATTCTGGAGGAAATCCTAGGTATCCAGGCTAAGTAAATCGAAGAAGAATAAATATCTTACTTGTTAGAAAACTTAACCCAACCATCCTATCTGATGGAGAGAAGTAGAGATGCTTCTCCTCTTATTAAGAATGGATTTGATTAAATTGGCTTTGATCCCTCATTAAAGTGAATAAAGGAGATCCTTGTGCAGATGTTCATCCCATATGCATTAGGAATGTTTGTCTTGGAATATTTTGTTGTTTAATGGGCTATCTATGACTTCTGTCTCTTACAATCTCAGGTCTTCTTTTTGATAACTTCCGCACTAGAAATAACCTAAAAATAATTTTAAGGTGATAACATAGTAACATATAATTTTTTTTCCAATAATACTCTCTAGTAACTGAATATGAAACCTCCAGGGAGCCTTACTCTCTGAATTATGGCTTTCAAACATTTTTTATTATGATCCATAGTAAGAGATATAATTTACCTAATGATCTTGTACACACTTACATATTGATAATTAAAGAAAAGCACAGCATATTATTATTGTTTTTAAATTTACATAAAAGAAACTTGTAGCTATTAAGTTGTAGTAGTTAGATCGTAACTAGGGGATCAATATTGTCTATTGTACCAACCTGGGGAAGAGGACAAGTTTTAAAGGTAGATACTATCTATTGCTATCAGCCTGTTCTTTTCTCTTACCTATTGTATAGAAAGCCTAAGAAACAGGGAGAGCACAGAGCACTGAAAGGCACCCAAAACTCCTTGAATATAAGATAATGTATAATTATTTCCTTTTTCATTTTTATAACTATGAGAATTGCAACTTGATTTTAATGGATAATTTTAGCCCACTTATTGTTTGAAATTGTGTACCTCATGTAGTGAATAAATCTTGTCTTATTAATAGGTAAACAGTTGACTTTAGAATGATTATAATATTAGTTTTCCAAGCATTTTGTGATTCTACGACACATTGCTTGACATTTGGTGAAAAATCAATAGAATTTATGTTGAAAATTTGCCATGTTAATTATTTCGCTCTATGTGTTCTCATAACTATGCATAATATTTACGGAGATATATAAATGGAACATTTCTTTCAATGATTCCTATTACTGTATTATATCTGATTCACTAGCAACATTAATATTGGATCATGTCTTTTAATGCACAGTAAATTCTTATGCACCAGAATATAACTCATGTTCATGTATTAAAGAGTGGCAAGTGGTAAAGAAACAAGCTTTTTTCCCCCAGAGATTCACTGAATCTTTTATTTACTGGAATGCGGTAGAATACTGCAATTTTTGTGCACTATTATATATTATTTCATAATCTGTTTTCATTGTAAATAGGGTAATTGTAATTTCTAATTATAATGCTGTTGAGAAGAATGTTTTTGAGCAATGGAATTGTGAAGCTGAGAAGCTGTTAGCATGTTTCCATGGAAAGGGTCTAACACTGTCTAAACTAAGAGGAAAATGATACTTGAATAAATGCTTCCAAACCTGCTTTCCATGCTCTATTCTCTGACTCCCACCTTCCTCCCCTACACCGGCTCCTGCCTTTGCATTTCTTCTCTCCAAGCCACAAAAGGAACATGGGTATGCTTCAATGCTTAGACAAAAATATTTAAAAATTCATATCAAATAAATTAGGGCAGCAAATACACATCACAAAAAATCTGCTTTAAATGAAAAGCTCTGCTGAAGAGTCCAGTTCTAACTTTTATATGGCTTTAGAAATATAATTCAGTTTACAAAAAGCTGAATAGCATACCATTATTTATCAAAGTGGAAAGAGTACTAGTTAAGGAGTAAGGCACAGACTCAGTTTTGTCATTATCTGAATTTGTGTCCCTGAGGAAGTCATTTTACTTTTCCAGGACTATATTTTCTAATTTAATAGGCAAAGGTTCAATTCATTGTTCTCTAATATGCTTTCCAGTTCCAACATAATGTAAACAAAGTGAGGTATGCTCTTAGTCTCAATGACTACTAAGAGATGTAATTAAAGGAAAATTTTCCTGATTTATTTTTCTGTAAAAGTTTGAGAGCAGGTGGGACATGCTGGTTCATGCCTATAATCCCCTCACTTTGGGAGGCGAAAGCAGGAGGATCCCTTGAGGACAGGAGTTTGAGGCTGCAGTGAACCATATTACACCACTATACCCCAACCTGGGTAACAGAGCAAGAGCCTGTCTCTACAAATCAATCAATCAATTAATTAATTAATTAAAAATAAGAATAAAGTTTGAGAGCAATGAAGAATCAAATAATGAAAAATAATCAAGGACCCAGTCCTGTGGTGAAACCACTGGGCCATGGGAAAAGCAACATGCTCAGTGATTCTAATGCTGATTCATAAGAAAGCATTTATAAGAATAATTTACTTCATGTAAGGGGAATTGTTTTTGACAGCAACTCTTTTTTAGTAAAGAATATAAAACAAACTTTTTTTTTTTAACAACAAAAAGAGAAGGTTTTTCCATAAGATTAAAGGGTGGAATATATATAATGGGTGAAGATAACCAAAATCTGCCACATAAAGTAAGAAAAATTTCAACAATTAACAAAGACTCAATTTTCTAAGGCACCTAAGGAGAAATTTAATCCTAGAAAATATTCCTTTCTCAATGTCTAGAGAAGCTTTCAGCCAAAGTCAACTTTGATATATTTGTATAAACGATGCTTTATTTGGATTTTTAAAGAATATTGCTCACGTATCCAAGACTGAGTCATCTATAAAGAAAAAAAAAAAAAAGAATATTGCTCATTAAAATTTTAAGTAGGGCTCACATACTTTTATATGTTTAAAGAGGCAAATAATCCAAACATCTGGGTAATGAATAACCATAAGCATACAGTTTCTCCCCTCTGGCATATTGAAACCTGTACTATATGGGTGAGAATCTTACATGGTCAATGAAAAAGAAAAGAGTTGAGTCAATTGAAGATCTTATTTTTACCTATGATTTTCACTTTGAATTTTAGCCTTCTTTTGAAGATTTATTCTCATAGTCCGTTGCATTCCTCTAAACAAGTTTAAATTTTGAAGTAAATATTTCTCTTTGGGGTAATGGAAGTATCACGAAACAAAAGTGTTACTTTTAGCCAGGCGCATTACTCATGCCTGTAATCCCAGCACTTTGGGAGGCCAAGGTGGGATGATCACTTGAGGCCAGGAGTTTAAGACAAGCATGGGCAACATAAGGAGACCCTATCAAAAAAAAAAAAAAAAATCCCCAAATTAGCAAGGCACAGCCGATTGCACCTCTGGTGCCATCTGTTTAGGAGCTGAGGTAAGAGGATTGCTTGAGCGCAGGAGTCTGAGGCTGCAGTGAGCTTTGATCACCACCACTGCACTCCAGCCTGGGTGACCGAGTTATTTTTTAATAAGAGGGTTATTTAAAAAATTAAAATACTAATAATTGCATTGGTTGCATTACATTGTGATGACAGCTTTGAATTTTAGCTTAAAATTGTGTGCTTATGGTTATCCATTGCCCAAAAGTTTGGATAACGTTGCTTTAAATATATAAAAGTATGTGAGTCCTACTTAAAATTTTAATGAGCAATAGTCTTAAAAATCTAAATATCATTATAATATAAAGCAATCAGTGCAGTTTTTAGTATTTTAAAGAGCTACAAGCCCTCTGCTGCTCTAGGTGACTGGCATAAATCTGTTTTCTGTTTCAGACTAAAAAGGCTGCTAAGGGTATAATGTGTTTAACCCACAGTTCGCACATGGGCTTTACACATGGGCTTTTGTCCATCTCAAGGGTGTGTCAATGCTAGGAATTTCAGAAGCCATATAAAGTAAATGGGAAAGGTGATTTTCAAACATTATTTTTAATTTTATTTTTCATTTGTATTTGTTTTTTAAAATTTTCTTTTTAAAATGTATTATTATTTTACTAAACAATCAGTTTTTCCCCACTTTCTCTGATTTATGTGGGTCAAATGTGGACAACTTAGAATAGAAAGGCAGCTTATAAGCAGAACTACTAATGAACTAATCTTCCGAGATTGTTAAACTTTTGAAAGCACTAGATTGAATCAAGATCCCTGGGTTTGCAGGATAAATAAATACAGCCTTTTCCAAAGGGATGAGCACATCCTTGGGCGAATTGTAGAGAAAAGGTAAGCACCAAGTGTATTAAAGACTGGCAATTAACTTGAACAACTGATAGATCAATTGGAATGAATTGAGGAGCATCAGAGAAGCCTGAGACAGGTCATAGCAGGGCCTCTGGTTGGGTTTTA